CCACAATTCCTTATTTGTGACAATGGCGTGCAGATGCGCAGTAGGCTCTTCTTAGATCTGTGTGAAAGCTACCGTGTAAAGGTTCGGTTTACTCCTTTTTATCATCCACAGGCTGATCCTGCGGAGAGGGTGAATCGTGTGGTAAAGCAATTGATAGCCACTCACGTTAAGAACAATCACAAACATTGGGACGCTCATTTAGCTTCGATAGCTTGTGCTCTTCGAACTTCTAAGCACGAAACCATAGGTGTGACTCCCTATCGTGCTAATTTTGGGAAAGAATTTCGTATTCGAGGGGACAGCTTCGACACTGACATGACGGACAATGAGCCGATTGACGTAGAACAACGGTTAGCGCAACAGCAAGGACTGTACGACAAAATTATTGCACGCATTAAAGACAGTCATGACCGCAACAAGCAACATTATGACTTACGACGTAGGCATGTTAACTATGAGATAGGAGATTTGGTTTGGCGTAAAAATAAGTCTTTGTCTGATGCCACTAAAGATTATTCAGCGAAGTTAGCCCCCAGATTTTTAGGACCATTTACGGTTAGCCGTAAAATGGGGTATTTGACCTATGAGTTGAAAGATTCTAATGGTAAATCTTCTGGAACGTGGCACGTCCAGGATCTCAAACCTTATATTGAACCCGATGATCATGGTTAGACATTTATTGTCGCCGGATTGCTTGTTTGTTGACGATTTTGAACCACTAATCTTGACGTATTCTTATTCTTGGATTTGACTTTGATATATGTATTTATATGTTATATGTTCCATATTTCTTCTTCTTCTTACTCTTCGGGAGGTAGGTTGGGCATAGGGGATGGTTTCTAGGATCATAGCTTAACACCTGCTAGGGGATTCGTCCCGATCCATTATCCTCCTTCTTTCTTTTTCTATCTGCACCTCAAACACTTTTCTTCTTCTAATTTCCTCAGGGGAAATTTGGGAGAGGTTGCCCTTTTCTTTTCGCTTTCCTATATTCTATCTTTTTCTTCTCTTCTTTCTTCCATTTCCGTTCCATAGAATGAATGAATGTTTGAATGGATGGGTAGTTGACACACAAGAGGAAGGGGGTGGGTGCGCCTTCCCTGTGCGAGCCTCGGTGACCATGGGACCCCTGGAATCGGCATGAATGAGTTTTTTTTCTCCGCAAATGTGATTTCTTCTTTCTCTCTCTTACTGTCTTCTATCCATAGCACCTTCTTCATTTCATTGCGCTAGTGCATGGTGGAGTTGGGTTGGAAAGGTACCTTCTTTTTGGGGGTTTCCTTCTACACTTTTTCGGCAAGGGGGTCAACATTTGGGCTTTTGTGTCGTTTTTAGTCAGGGAGGGGGGTTTCTTTATTTTGGGGATTTTGGTGCTGCATCACTTGAAACTGTAGGGTTTCTTTCTTCTGGGTGGGCACTGGATTTGGTTTTTTTGGGGGTGACTAGTAGTTGGATTGGGGTTGTGGGAAAGGGGTTGCTATTGTCATGATACCCGACGGCGCGAGATTCCATCTTTACGCGAGGGCATGTCAATACCCGATTTTGCATACCTTTTCCGCTGCTGGAGAATCTGGGAAAATTCTTTGAAGGTGAAATTCTTTGGGGGGGGAGTTTTTTTTACACTGGGGTGGGTTTTCGGGTTTTCAATTTGTTTGCTTCCTTTTCGAGTGTGTGTGCTGGGTTTTTTCGATCGTCGGAAAACTTGTAGTTTCCCTCCTGTCGAAGGAGAGGGGGGGTGTAACAGTTTAGTTTATTTATATTCAAATTTCAAAATTACCGCTTGCTACGTTAGGCAGGATATAGGTGAGATGGCGTCACTTGTACGCGTGCTTCTTTCCTTGCGCAGGATCGCGTTAATTTTTCACTTCATTTCCGTTTTAAAGCCAACGAGGTTGTACTTGTAGAGCGTGGCGTTGTGAATTCTTCTTAAACCAGTGGGTAATATTTGCCATCATTCACGTAAAATCTCTGGCAATTTTACCTGTTTATTGGCGTTGTCGAGTAGAGTAACTCAGAAGCCGTTTTCTCCGTTGTGAGGCTATATCTGGTGGAAGTTCATCGCCCTACCTACATATTCACAACCTCTTGGATAATTTCCATACCTATTTCATTGATTTAAGTATTTTTCATTACCCTCCTGACGATTTCAGGGGGTCCATGTAGTAGACGAATTCTTGTACCGGTCAATCCATGTAGTAGACGAATTCTTGTACCGATCAATCCATGTAGTAGATCAATCCATGTTAGACGAATCCTTGTATGTAAATGAATTTGCATCTTGCGAATATTCTGGAGTACGAACACCTGTTGATTGCCGGCAGTTATCCGGCGTACCACCGAGTAGATAAGCGCTAACACCTAAACGATACCGGGAGCGACCAGCTGATTGTGGAATTTTCGGAAGATACGATCTTTTACACAACCTTTTTTTATTTGCTTCAATACCGTTAATCTAGTGTAACCTTCCGACGATTTATGATCGGAGCTTTGTATTTTGTTCGCATCTAGTGTTTTGAGGTCGTGGCTCTCTTCAAGAGCAACGCACCTGTATTTAACGTATGGGTAAACGAGCCGGCTACGAGTAAGCTTTTTTTTGGCCCTTCCGGCTCATATAATCGTTCCGAGCGTTGTAGCTTGGGGTTTGTTTTTGTGTTACAGAACTGGAACTTCGAAGGAGAGCTCTTTTTCGGAGAAGACAGCGTATGTGTTATTCAAGGTAAGATTTTTAATTTACTTGTACCCAGTGTTGCTTATATGAGTTGTTATTCGGGTTAACTTAATTCAATCTTGAATCCATTGAAATCTTAACTACATTTTTGCTCGATCATTGTTGTAGGGGTCTGGTAACGTAATTATTAGGGAAGTGTTCATGAATTTATTTGGGGATTATTTGTGTCATTTAAAGTATTTGTTATTGTCGTATTGAAGATACATTTTATTTGCCGATCCTGCACCGTTTTGCCAGGATTAATAAATCAGAATTGCTCGTAGTGAATTTATTATTTGGCTCTCTTGTATTTTCCCAATTTCTATACAGGAGAGGTCAGAATTTGTGCAAAATTGGGTGGCGCTCAACTAATCATTTCTAGTAACTACCAAAGATCAAAAACTTATGTTATATGCCCAAACGAACAAACCGCTGTGGAAGATTCTCATCTCGAGCCCTTCTTTTAATTAAGAATCTGAGCTAGCTGGCCGTTTATGCGGCGGGGTTTGAGTTTTACAGCGCCGAACTAACCTCACGTTATAATTTATAAAAAATACAATGGTTTTCTATAGGAAGCGCGTGTACCAAATCTGACCTCGTATGCGCATTACCGCTACCGTTATGAAGACATCACCTTGGTATCAATACTTCTTTCCCTAGAGTCTGACAATTTCCCAAGCCATTGCAATTAGTGGCGGATTCAGCAGGAGGCAAAGGGGACAATTGCCCCCTCCGACAAGACCAAAAGGGCTTAGCGAAAGGGCAACACCCTGTTAAACAAGGAACAACTTCATTTACATTATTTCCATTACGTTCTCCGGTTCCTTTAATTGAGCTCGCGTAATGTTTGTTGCCTATCCGTAGGGATATGTCATCACAAGGTAATGTCCTGAAATATGATGATTCAAAGAAAACAAAAAAACAATTTCGTAAATTTAAATTTTAAATTGATTGATTGTTTAACGATGCAATGACTTCTCAATTTCTCATTTCTCGTCTCTCGCACGATCGGAACACTTAGTGGTACATTAGTTACTTCCAAAAAAAGTGTCCTTAAAACTTAACCAAAAAATTTCCACAATTTCCAACCTCATTTTCTTAAAAAAAAGTTCTGCTCATTTTCACGTTTAAAAGCTCATTTTACACAACTTCGATGGCTAAAAAAACTCATTCTCTAAAAGTTAAGAATAAGAAATCACAATCAAAGTCTTTTGCTAAAAAATCTCTGCACCAGAAATCCAAGTTCAAAGATGGAAAGTCGCCAAAGAAAAATTTTATGCTCACAAAACATAAACAATTAAAAAGTAAGAAAAAGAAAAAAGAAGAAACAGGGAAGGAAGTTCTAACACCAAAGGTCTTCTCACACGAAAATAAAAAGATTGTCGAAGAACTTTACTCCTCTAAATTTGATACCCAGCACGAAGTGGGAGATTGGGACATGCTAGAAGAAGAGTATGAGAATTTATACCAACAAGAAGAGACCACGCTTACTAAACATCTGTTACCAATTAAAACCAAAACGGGAATCGTTCCTGTAGTGGAAGAAATCTCGAATGAAGCAGATGAGCCACAGATCAGTGAAGACGAAGTTGAAGAAAACGAGGTAGAAGAGGAGCCCAAGGTTACTACAACGATCACGGCGGCAGAACTATTGGTACGGCAGAGTAAAACTGTAGGAGATAAAAAGATTCAAATTGGCAGTTTGAGTGCCAGTATTTTAGAAGACCCGAATGAGAAAATTGATAATTTAAGGATTTTAGTCAAGATGCTTGAAAGAGATGAAGTGAATGATTCGTTAATAATTAAAAAAATGGTTATTATGTCTTTAGTTGAAGTCTTCAAAGATTTATTGCCTTCGTATCGTTTTAAGGAAGATCTTGATAAGTCCGTAAAATTAAAAAAGGAGACGTTAAAATTAAATAAATTTGAATCAACAATTCTGCAAAGTTATAAAAAGTTTCTTCGCTTTTTAGCAATATTTTCATCCGTTTTAATTAAACAACAAGGTAGAACTGCAACGTCTAACAACGTGAAATTGAGATTGGGAGAGATATCTGTGAATGCGTTGTCCGAGTTACTACAGGCGCATCCTTATTTTAACTACAGTGAAAATATAGCGCAAGTTGTAATCCCCTTTTTGAACCATTCAAATAGTGCGATTCGCGAGAAAGTTAAATTAATGTGCAAAACAATATTTAGTGACGATTTAAAATCGGAAATAACACTGAAGATTGTGAGACTAATAAATCATTATCTCAAGAAATTTGATTTCGTCATCCACACAGAAATGCTGGATGTACTGCTTTTTTTAAAAATTAAGGAAGTCAACATGGATAACGAAAGGATTCAGAAATTGAAGCAGAAGAAATTACAGTCACATAAGGGAAATATATTGAAACTGTCGAAAAACGAAAAGAAACGGGCTGCACGCGTGAAGGAAGTGGAAAAGGCGCTAATGGAGGCGAAAGCTGAAGAGAGCAGACAGGGTAAACAGAAGAATGTCACGGAAATAACTAAATTCATTTTCGGAATTTTCTTTAAAGTGTTGAAAAACTCTACAAATACGAAAATTGTAGGCATATGTTTACAAGGGGTCGCACAGTTCGCGCATTGCCTGAGTATCGAGTTTTATATGGATCTTATTGCTATTTTAGGCAATCTGCTACAGGAGGATTGGATGGCTTACACGGAGAAGCAGAAATGCATTCAAACAATTTTTGCTATTCTTTGTCAACAAGGGGAAGTATTCAATTTTGATCCGGCGGGATTTTATTCTAATATATATGAAGAGTTGTTAACTGTTCACTGTGGACATACCTACAAGGACTTCAGTGTAGTTTTAGATACTCTCATATACGCATTAGTGAAACGTCAAAAGAAAATATCCCAAAAGCGGATGGCAAGTTTTCTGAAGAGGTTGGCAACGTTAAGCTTGCAAGTATCTCACGATGGGGCATTAAGTTGTTTGGCCATTTGTAAATCCCTTTTACAGTCGAATACTGCGATGGACATTTTATTAGATTTGGAATCGTCATGGGGCGATGGCTCCTATCAGCCTGAATTAAACGATCCCGAATACTGTAACGCATCCAATTCTGCTTTGTACGAGTTAAGTCTGTTATATCGTCATTATCACCCTACCGTTTCAGAATATTCAAGACGTATTGCGCACGGGACTTCTGCTTCAACTGAAGGTTTACCTAATGTTCTTAGTCGAGCTTCGGCGGATGAAATATTTAAAACCTTTGATATGTCACAAATGTGCTTCTCTCCATCAATTCCAATTTTAAAAAATGTACCTAAAAACAAAATAAGGCACAAGTGCAATGATCTTAATTTTGTTAGAAATTGTAAAACGATTATAAAAAATGAGAAATGCGGTATATTGTCCTAAATTAAAGTTGCAGTTTACACTTTTAAAATTTCTTTCAATTTCTTCAATGTTCCAGATTCTACTACCTTGCCCTGTATACAGTATACAAAGAGTAGCCACTCTTTGCAAAAGAGCAAAAAAATGAATTCGTTTGGATTTTAGTCTACTGTAAATGAGTCTTTCCAAAGGTAGGTATTGTATTTTTTCAAAAGCTATAATAGTGAACTTGCCCCTTTATTACTACATTTTTGCAACTCTTTCTCCCATAACATATTAGAGTTGGTAATAAATTGGGGATATATGTAGTTCTGACAATTAATTACTTATTTTAAACTCAATTTTGGAAATAAGGGGGCCAATTTCAACACTAATTACTGGAAAGGTTAATACAGGAGAAATGTGTTCGTAAGTTACAAAATACTGTTGGCCAATGAAAATCATGGAAATGTTTAATTGTTCCGAAATTTTAGGAATCTGGATTTCTACAGGCACTCCTGAATACCCCTAACCAGTAGTTCTATAATTTGTTTATTGATTTTAGGTTTTGATTTAATGTCACAAGGAAACATATTAATAATCGTAATTGCTAATTAGAATTAATTTAGCTTTGGCATGAAAAATCAATTATTTTAGTTTTTAACTTCCTAGCTCCAGCTAAGGGGGCATTATTGCGATCACACCGATCACCGTTTTTTGGACAAATTAAAATTTCATGATGTCTTTTTAGATCGTTTGACCGCTAGGGGGCGCTTCTCGAAGTTAGTCGATTTCTTTAATGCCCGCCCATACCTTTTTTATTAAAAATAATTGATTTTGGCAAAATCTTTCTTTTAGAGCACTTTTTTATGTAGAATCCGTTGCGATACACAATTTTTACACGGAATATCGCTAGGGATATCGTACTTAACTTCCAAAGACGACTCGTCCGCCACTCATTTTTGATCGCCCATTATAATTAACATTTAAAATAAATATAACAAGTGATACATCAAAATTTAGAAAATTTTTTGTTCTTTTCAAAACCTCCAAAATATATAAGCTGGTCCATATGAAAAAATGCGTAGATCATGGTCGTATTAAAAACCAAACACCCTATATAAAAACTGTATCGCAATTGATTCTAAAAAAGTGCTCTCAGAAAGATCGACTTTGCCAAAATTAATTATCTATAATAAGAATAAGTTATGGGGCATTAAAGAAATCGACTAAATTTGAGAAACGCTCCCTAGCGGCTAAACGATTAGAGATAACTGAATTCGCTTTGCGTGAGGGTTTATTAGGCATAGGTACGGAAATGAAAAATTATGGGTCGGATTTTTAAGAAAAATTTTGTGACACCGCATCGGCATCGAACCTTTTTTCAAATAACAACCTAACATGTTTATTACCTAAATTATTCAAAAGACCTTCTTTTTCTGTGTACAACTTACAAAAATTGTGGCAGATTTTATTACAATAAAAAACTGAGGAAAAAGGCAGAATTAAAACACTAAAAATTTTTTGCCCAGCAACTCAGTTAAATACATGATTTCTTTAAGAAGTTAGGCATATAAAGGATGTAAGGCAGTAAAAAACGTCTTTACTTATATCTTAGTTTTTAACGCCACAGCGTCCGATAACTGTTTTTTTTAGCGCATTTTCCAACTCGCATGTTGGCGGTATATGATGGCCACTTTCTCAGTCCATCTAGAGCCATAACTATACTCTCACAGTTTTTTTTTTTTTTTTGTTTTTTTTTTTCAAGATACTCAGGGGCTACTGGGAACAACATTGCTTGACTGTAGACAATAAATGAATTATTGGTAATAAACACAATCAAATTTTAAAGAAAAAGCGCTTGAAGTCGCAACAACGTAGGGCCCGAGGTATTTACGAAAGAAAGTGTCACAAAAAAATTATCGATATCGCGAACTAATCTGGTATTCATAATTGAATAAAGGGTAAATTGGTGTGTAGCGCCGGTCCTTTCTTTTGTGTTGCGCTAAACGTTGCGACTACCAGTTCCGTAATCTTTTATTTGAATGTCACTTAATTAATATATATATACAGGATGTCCCATTTATCTTGAGGCAATCAATTATTGCGGAAACTAGAGGGGATATCAAAAAATTATTTATGCAGAAGCCTATTTAACGATGCTATGCACATTTACACATAGGTAACTATCGCTTAAGGGTCGAGTGTAGGGCAACTAATTTTTTCAAATAGAAACCTAAGATCTACTTGTTATTGAATATCCTTATTCTACTTCTACATCGGAAAATAATAGGCTTCCATGGGAAACATTCTTTCCTTATACTTACCATTTGTTGAAGACACTCTCCCAAAAGCAAGATTTTCTCCTCATACAGTTGGATTCTTAGCTGTACCGAGTGACCCAATAAGATTGTTCCTCGGCCACATCTCGAGAACCGTTCGTCATATGAGTTAAAAAAATTATTGGTAAATCGGTCATGAAGAATCGCTGGAAAATATTTTCAAGTTCTAAAAGTGACCAGAGGGCGTAACTGCCATCTTAAATTTTAAAATTGCATTTTCTTTAAATTTCGCGTAATAAACTAAAAAAATTGTTCACGTTTTTAAAGAGAACCAATTTATCTATCATTTTTATAAAACAAAAACTCAGTTATCTCAAAAACAAAGATGGTGTGGGGCGTTCAATTGTTTTTGCAATAACCTGCTTTAATTTCTTAACCGTTTGACCGATTTTAACAAATTTGGTATGGTTGAAAAGAGCATTACCTGGGCAATGAGAATCAACCAAACTATAGTTAATTTAGTTGAATCCTTCTGCGCCAGGGGGCTAGTTTTGACACTATGATCCAAAATCCTAAATAAATCAAATGGTGTGATATAACTTTTTCTTTATGAAAAAGTAGCCATAAAGTGCAGTTTTTTGAATTTGTAATCTTTTCTAAAATGCCGATTTCTAACCACGAAGCATTTAATATGCTGGCGATATATTTTGAGTATTTTCAAAATGCCAAAATGCGCTGATGCCCACATCTTCTATTTGCGTTATCCGAATCAACCACGAACCATCGCCGCCAGCATATTAAATGCTTCTTGGTTTGAAAGCGGCATTTTAGAAAAAATTACAAATTCAAAAAACTCCACTTTCTGAATGTAAACACAGCAGAATAATTTACAAATTACGGCTGTTATCATTTTCTAATGCATCATGTTTAATTTTGTTGTTTAATTTTCCAAGGCCTACCTAAAAGTGTAGGGCTTTTCCAACCAATCTTTCGCGCCATCGACAAATACCGGAAATACATCAAATAAGATACAATTTAAGCATTTTTATTAATTAATCTCATTTGCCTAATATTTGAGGTTAGGAACGAGATTTTGAAAAACGGTTTTCACTGGCCTCTTTGGGTGTTATTTGGCTACTTTTTCATAAAGAAAAAGTCATATCATTTCATTTGATTTTTTTAGGATTTTGGATCATAGTGTCGAAACTAGCCCCCTGGCGGAGAAGGATTCAACTAAATTAATTATATTTTGGTTGATTATCATTGCCCAAGGAATGCTCTATTCAACCATACCAAATTTCTTAACGGTTAAAAAAGTTAAAACAGGTTATTGCAAAAACAATGGAACGCCCCACGCCATCTTTGTTTTTGAAATAACTGATTTTTTGTTTTTACGAAAATGATAGATAAACTGATTCTCTTTAAAAATGTGAAAAAAGAATGTTTAGTTTATATTATGCGAAATTTAAAGAAAATGCAATTTTAAAATTTAAGATGGCAGTTACGCCCTCTGGTGGTTATTTTTAGAACTTGCCTTTAAGTGCGATTTCTTATGTAAACAAAAATACCAAACGTAACTCGACATAACTTATTTTTCATCGCATATTGTATACAGGCTGATTCAAATTTGAGGGCCACAATGTGGATCTCGGGAACTGTAAGAAATAGGTAGGTAGTTTAAATTTGGCGTATTTTGATCCTTACAAAATGCAGTTTTGAAACTGAAAAAAATTCCGACTACTTTCGGAGATATCCGGAATAAAACGAAATTTTGTAAAATCGTTTTTATTTTTTACTGAAGTTACTTAAAATTTTTATTCAAAATCAATACACACGTTATTATGGTCAATTTTTTCCCTCTACAACATGCTATTTTTAAATTTTAAATCCGACATTTCGTCTCCGGTTAACCATCATCAACTTTGTTTTCCTTATGGAAGTAATTTTTACTTTTTGTGTCATTTGCTAGAGAATTTTTTTCTGGTTTCAAAAATGTAAACACTCCCACACAGGGCCGGACTCGACCTACCAAATGACTCGGGCGTTTTTGATAAACCGGCCCACTACCTCACCAGACCTACCAATATAAGGGAAAAAATACGTTTTTTGATTCAAACTTAAAACTCACAACACAGACAGCGTGCATCTTTTTAGGATCCACAGTATACACGTTCCGGCTGAGCGGCCCTTCCGGGATTCCACCGCGCTGCTTCCCGGTTGTGACACGACCGGCTTGTTGAGGCACAAGACCGCGGCCCCGGGCCTCGAACTATCACCGAATTGTTATATATTTCCCATGTTATTTATGTTGCTATGGAAAGTAAATAACATGAGAAATATATAACATTCGAGTTTCTATCGGAAACATGTGAAAGGGAAGCCGTAATTCGGCTTTAAGAAACCTTAAACCACGTGACAAAAGTCGCAGCGGACGGTAACTTTTGGGTGCCCGAAATCTACTACCCCTCTAAGACCCGCGCCTTGTAAAAGGCGGTTAAAAAATTTCCGTCACCCAGGAGTCGTGTGCACTTACAAAATCAAAAACATCAGTTTGAAAACAA